ATATCTGCGTCCTCTTCATGCATGCAGAGAGGGCTCCTGATCACAACTATATTAAAAATACTGTTTTTATACTCCCTGTGATATTTTCCAGATGAGCAAGTCTTAGGGACTCTCCTGCAGTACAAGTTCATCTCACAGTCTGCAGTCTTTCTTATTATGAAAGCCAATACTCCAGTCTGATTCTTTTGATGAAAAACAATTCTGAATTGAAATGGTTCTTCAGTCTGTGCCTGCCATTTCCCCAGCCTTGTAGGAGATGGAGAGCAATAATGACCTGGCTTCAGGTTCTGGTTTAACCTTTAACTGCTGTAACAAAGTGAACTTGCTAGTCCTGGTCTTGCTTCATGTGTCAGTTAGTTAGCAGTGTATGTGTAGCTCCTGCTAGAGCATATTTGTAGCAGCCAATATCTGTAAGTCTACACACAATCTGGGAGATTTAGGCAGGACTAGTAACTAATAATAATTGTCTGAAACTGGTGTAATGTAACTTTCAGTGTATTAAGTACATGTATTTATTCTGAGTTTTTTCCAGTAACATTTAGGGATATAGTTGTTGCCACTTAGAACAAGAATCTAGCCTATATAAGGAGGTTAGATCCCTTAATGTGTACAGAGTAAAGCAGTTCCTTGCTTTAAATTCTTACTTTTCATCCTGCTATTATAAAGTATTAAGTTTTCAAAATCTGTTTTGAGTTTCTTTTGCAGTGCCCTTGTTGTGGCAACTGCAAGTCTACTAGTAGGTCTTAGGGAGAGAAAATGCCCGATTACCAAAAGCAAATCTGAGTTTTGGGTTTCACTCCATTGCTCAGCCTGGCCACTGAGGCCAGGGGTGTGGCTGCCCCTTGTCTAAGGAGTGAATTGTGAACATTGCTGCCCGGTTTCTGCAGCAATATAAGTAACTGCATGGCTGCTACACCTTCTTTGGCCTGAGCTGTACAAACTCCCTTCACATCAGCACTGAGGCGTGTGTGGCCTTGCAGATGTGACTGGCAGCCCCAGTGGGCTGTGCTGAATGGCTCTGCTGAAGGAGGAGATGGGCTGGAACAGCCAGGGGCAAGAAAGAGGGGACTGAGGGACAGAGGATGGTTATGGCAGCATTGGGTGATATAAATGGGGACTGCAAAACTACCCCATTGTGCTCTGGGAGTCATCTCAAGATGAATGAATTCTTTGACCCAATTAAACGTGGCTCAGAAAAATTTATAAGCACAACTGAGACAGTAGAAACGTCCAGCATTACATGGGGATGAGGATATCCCAAGCAGGAATTTCTACCAAACACATCATGATCTCTGTTTAGAAACCATTAACTGGGTATATGCTAGAGGTAAGATATTAGCACAGCAAAAGAGGACAGAGTAGCATTTGTAATTTTTCAGCCTGCATATCCTAAAATTTTCAGTGGCATTAAATATGCCACTTAATCTCAAATGGATTTTTTTAGTTGAATTACCAGTTGGAGCATTTACAGTCCATTGAAAGCTAATGGAATTTCAGTACTTAAATATTTTTTGGGTAACCTCAGAATGGCTGAGGAGCTCTTACAGTTCATAGCTCAGTGAGATTGTTAATTAGTTTTGTGATCCAGGGAATTTCTGTGACTACATTCTTATGGGCATATCACAGAACCAAACACTTCAAAGCCTCTAATTCATATTCTGATAAATGAGGATCACTAAAATACCATTGCAAAACCTTGCTCTTTCTGTGCTGGCTTTTGATGACATCATATTAAGTCTTTATAATAGGTTGAATACCCAGATTTTCCTTTAAAAGTAGGTATCTGAAGGGTTTAACAAAGCTTCTCTGTCAAGCTATTGGGCTAAGGGTTTCTAGAATCCTGTTTTAAAATCCAAAGAATGGCTGCTTTCAGTGGCAGGATAGCAGTGAAAAGAAATGTCCAAAGATATCAGCTGCACAGCAAGAGAACAAGGGCTGATCTCAGCAATTTTGAGCTTAGAGCTTTATTTCAGTTTTAAATCTCAAACTGAATGGAAGAACTAGCAGCAATTCCAATTAAAGCCTTTGGAGGGTCTCAGATTCTTTTATTATAGCAACAGAATATTTATTGAAAACCAGGTAGACTTAGTGAAGCTTCTGTTTTGGTTTTTTTTTTTTTTTTCCTCATGTACTTGGATGAACTGTAGCAAAGTTTCATTCTTGTGAAGTGACAAGAGTGTTTTTCTTTAAGTGTTCTGCCGCTGTGGTCGTCCTAATTCACGTGAAATAAACAGGGATGTGAAAGTGTGGTCTGGTTTGAAATACATATAGTTATTCAGTCATAGTCTTTGAATCTTGGTATTAGGTAAAGCAGTCCTGTTTATAATCTGTGTTCTGAGCAGTTTTACTGTTTAGGTTGAGGAGAGGGTGGAGAAAAAGCAGTTTACTAAGATGTTTATAAACAATTGCCTTGAAGTGCTCAGTTTCAAGGTACCAGCCAAGAATGACACAACATTGTTCAGGGAGCTTTAGTTAACCTGCAGGAATTGTAATCTAAACAGATAAGGGAAGGCTGAAATAGCTGGTGAGTTTAGGTTTAGATATCTTACATTGAAGGTGGCATGGTTTGATTAGTCCTGTGGCCAAGTAGAGATCTTCAGAAGTCTAAATCAAAACAGCTGATTAGTAACTCCTATGGTTTGAATTGTAGATTCTGTGCTTCATGTGGGCAGCCTGTGGGCTGGTGTAACCTTCCTTCCTTGATCTGAAGAGCATCTTTCACCAGCATCACAAAGCTCCCATTGTGCATAAGGCTGTGTGTTACCTATTATAGAATAAATGCAGAGTTATCAAGTCAGTGGCTTAATCCTTATCTTTGAAAACATATGAACCAGGTAATTACTTCTATTTTCTTGAAGAAGAAAGACTGCTAGAAAAAGTTTATTCTCTGACATGGCATCTGTCTAGCAGTTTATTTCAAGGCAGGGTGATTGGTAACCAGAAGGAACCACCTCCCCTGCCTCACTCCCCCAAATAAACTTTCAGAAGGCTTGGGGTGTGGTGGGTTTTTTTTTGTTTGGTTGGCTGTTTTTGTGGGTTGGGTTTGGGTTTTTTTTTTTTTTTTTTTTTTTTTACAGCTTATGACACCCAGCATATGAAGTTCAACATGGTGTCATTAAACCTGAGGGTAAAGTGACAGATGGAAATTAAATAGATTGACTGACTGCCCAATGGATTGCTTCTTGTCCTGTCAGAGGAGGGTGAATCTTGCTGGAAAGTAAACTGAGAGCATTAGGGGAGACGAGGCATCTTACCACAGCTTTGGGTGTCTTGTCTGGACACCTACTCAGAGTGTGCTCTTCAGCATATGCAATAATACCCTTTGTCTTAAATCTATGCTCCTTAAACTGAAGGGACTTGAGTAATGTTTTAAAGCAATTGCAGTTGTCGCAGTTGTCACAGTTGTTCTAGACACTGCTCCTTTTTTTGAGAAGTGGTTGGATTTCCCAAGACGTGTTTTTCTGTGAACAGGTGAGTTAATGTCAGTGTCTTGACTGCCTCAAGGATGCCTAATGTACAGAATAGGAAGAAAATTCATCCTTGCCTACTCAGAGATAGCAGAGGAGAGACCTTCCACTTGTGTTAATAGATTTTGGGGCTTTTTTTACTTTTTTTAACCTCAAGTAGCTGTTAGATGTGAGCTTTGAACCATGTTGTGTAAACTGTTTCTTGGGCTGCAGAAGTGGAGATAAAAATAAACAAACAGTTGGCTCCAAGGCCTTCTCTTGTTGTTTCATTAGAATATTCCTATTATAATCTCACCATGCCCCTTTCTGAAGCAGTGATGTGCTGTCAGCCTGTTGTTCTGTAAGCACTGGCACTTCTGCACTGATACTGTGTTAATCCTGTGTCACACTGCTTCAGCCTTGCCTTGTCCTCTGTTCTTGCCTCCTCACTGCTCGGCTCTTCTGGGCTGGAGGGGGCCATGCTCTCCCTCCCATGCCACCAAAGAAGAGCTGCTTTGTGTGCAGTTTCTGGGACCTCACTGAGTGCACACTGCACAGGGTCTGTGTTGTGAGCATACTGCTGCATTCACAGGGTCCCTGTAGTCCTAATCCTCTGAAATATTTGAGTGGCACTTGGAACAGCTCTGCAGGGAAGATCGAGTACCTTGGCTATGGAGAGCTTTAGATGCAAACTGTCAATTTTGATGCTATTGGGTGGATTTTGCTTTGATTATGAATCAGGTAATAGTGTAAGGCTGACCTTGCAGTTTCTACACGGCTGTTGTTTGGGTGGAATAGAGAAGGAAGGATTTAAGTATTCCCTCCACTTACCATTATGATGAACTCAAGCTTGTCAGTATTTTTGCTAAAATAGAACTATTAATTTGCCATAACCATGTAAAGATGTCGTATTTGTATTGACAGAAAGGAAAGTCTTATCTCTTGGCTATTAGTACATTAAGCCTTTATTGCTGTTGCATAGCACAGTGGACTTAGGGCTGGTGCCTATTACATATTCCTAAGTTTGTGATGCCAGAAAATTGTCTAATTTGAAAACTTTGTATTAAATAACACGACAGTTACAATAATGTTAGGATGTCTGATAAAAGAATACTCACAGGTTAAAACCAGTCACAATTATATGAAAAGTAGCTAAGGGTCACACTCTAGAAAGCGCTTATCTACTACTGTGAAAGCCAGACTACTCTTGAACTATGACAAAACAGCATTCTCTACAATTTAAGAGCAGGCTGTGTTATTTCTAGAACACTTAAAGTCCCTGAATTGTCTTGTTGTGTGGCCAATCTGTAGCTCTTGTTTCTTGGGTGTTTATGTCCAAGCAAGCTGAATTCCAGTTTACCATTTGTAGACTATGTGGACGATAGGCAAAACAACAACTTCGAGTTCGGGTGCTACCTGTTGTGTTTTTTCACATTCCCTTGGTAGGGAAATGTTCTCTTCCTCTCTTGCCTCTCCAGTGACTGAGTTAAAAATCAATCTCTGTGGTAATTGCTGAATTCACTGTCCCAACAAATACATGTTTGTGCTGTACAGGGAGAACCTATGGAGAAGTAGGAATTGTCACGCCTCATTTCTGTACTAAGGAGTGTCCTGGATGAGGGAGCTGATGTATAACATAATAGAGAAGATTACCAGAGGAAAATATCTGTCTTCACTTACCAGTGTTTATCCCAGAATGAGCACTTAAAGATGATTAATTTGCATTGCTGTACTAAATGTATGTAGCAAACAGGTGTGAGTAAAAAACTGCATGGAAAAATACTGCTACTCAGATGTTTGACAGTGCTGTCCTGAGGGCACTTCTTGATTGTTGGCATGTTTGTTCTTGTATGCATGAGTCAATGAGAACTTAGTTTGATTTGTTGCTTTTCAGAACATCAAGTCATGACAAGGGGAAAAAAATAGTTACTATCAGTGTACTCTAAGGGCAGTTGTCCAGACTGGTCATGGAATTGTCAGTCTCAGAATGCAGGGCACATAAACTGGATTGCTTGGAGCAAACTGCTTTCAGGAAGAGGGTTGGACTGGACAGTATCCAAAGGTCCCTTTCCAAGCTAAATAATCCTATGGCATGTTTGTAGGCTGATGATCCCTTAGTCTCTTGTTAATTTTGTTTAAGCCAGCCGGTTGTCCTGAAGCTTTTTCCAGTATACTACTCAGTAACTTCTACTGTTGGCCTTGTGTTTCCATACAATTGCACTTGCTGATGTGGCAGTTGCAGTGTTTTTCTAGAGTAATTGTGTCCAGGTAAATTTGAAACTCCTGGAAGGTCCATTGCTTCTGGAATGAAGTGTGCTGCTATAAATCAAGGCTGGTACAGCCACTTCCTGTAGCAGTGTTTTCTGAATGGTCTGCTGGTCTCCTTACAGCTCTCTGCCAGGATATGAACAGCTGGGGTCCTTTGTGGTGCTCCAAGGACACAAGAATGTCTATCCTGCCATCTACCATATACTCTTCATGTGTCTGAAATACTAATATTTGGGTTTTTTTCCTGTGTGGGAATCCTGACTGGTGACACATCTTTGTTTCATTTATTTCTGCTTTTATCTTCAATGTGCTGTCCTTGGAGATGCTGCTCTGTGCTAATCAGCATGGCAGCTGCTGTTACAACTACTGTGTCCAACTACTCTTTAAAAAACCCAACCAACCAAAAAAGAGGCAGTATTATTTTTAAGGAGCCTCCAGTATTTAATTACTAGGCTCACATAACACACAAACAGAGGCTTGTTAGCTAGGGCTTGTTTATTGAAGCTTACTCCTTTATGGCTTAGCAACATCAGGAGGAGAATAGGAACTGAGATTTTTTTGCAGTAAAGCAGGAATGTTTTTTTTCCTAAGCAAATTAGATTTGCAGCATCAAAAGGCAGGAAGAGTGTAAAATAAATGGTAATACCATGTCATGAGACTTTCTGCTAGAAGCTTTTGCAACTTGTTCCTGCCAATTTACTGTGTATCTCTGCTGTTTTCTTAGCCTACGCAGGGAGAAGATCAAAAGCCAGATTTCTGCCTATGAGCAGATCTAAGGTATAGCTGTATCAACATTAAAGAAATATTTTAGAAAGGTGTAATGCCTTATAACAAGAACAATAAAAACCACTTAATTTCATATCTTTTAAGAGAGAGTGGGTTTTTCTTTAGAAACTCCTCTAGACACTAGTCTTGTAGGCTGGGTTTACAAATTAAGAGTAGCTTGTTAGAAACCTTTGGCACTTTTATTAATCATACTGTTGTCACAAATAGAAGGCATTTGTTTTCATACCTTGTCCTACTCATACCTTAGGCATGGTTTGCATGCCAGTGCATTGGAGTGGCCCATTCTTTAGGCTTGCAGGGCAGAGTTTTAATCTGTTTTTTCAGCACTTGTGAGACGCTTTACCTGCATGCTACCCTGATGTCACCAATGTCATGGATGGGTGACTGTGCTCCTTCTCTCTGCAGATCTGATTGGTTGCCTGGCACTTCGTCTGTGGCAAGCAGGACAATGGCTGCCAGCAAGAGCAAGAACCAGAGTTCCTTGGCCCTCCATAAAGTAATTATGGTTGGCAGTGGAGGTGTGGGTAAATCTGCCCTCACACTTCAGTTTATGTATGATGAGGTAAGTAACTTCGGTTCAGCTTCTCTAAAGCACAAATTCACGTGGCTTGCTAGGCTTTTTTTTTTTTTTTTGTGAGACAGGAGAAGTACATGTGATGAGCAAAAGACCTGATGACCCAGCTGGGCAGGAGCAGGATGTAGAAAGCTGGGAGATGTGTCCTCTGGGAACATCTCTGGCTCAAGGTGACAAAATTGATGCTTATTTGTGAAAGAACTGTCTTCAGAAGTCATACATAATGTATGGGTGCTTGTGTACAGAAGCTGTTACTACTTGGAGTTGAACTTTAATTTTGTAATTTAGGTCAGTTAAGGCTGAAGTCAGAAGTAAACACTCTAGCTCATTCTGAGCTGAGTGATGAAGTAGGCATGTTCATAGCATGAATTCTTCCATGCTGGTATACTGGAAGCTAGATTAGGCAGCCCACACTAGTTAGGTGAAGGAATACATGATCTTGTAGTTGAAAAGTTAGTATTTATCTACAGTTTGTCCACACATACTGTAGTAGTGTAAGTATCTGAACAGGGGATATAGTCATTAATGAAAGCCAGCCAGCTTGATTGGGCTTAATTGTTGTGTTCTGAGGCTGAGAGGCTCTTTACCTCTCTACTTCTCTACTGGATGTGTGCTGTTGAACTGGCAGTGGCTTTGTGGATCTGATCAATACTGAATGGACTAAAGTATGTGCCTGTGTAATTATGGAACAGGCTTTCATGTTCAGCAGCTGGATGCTCTCATCTACACCTGTTAAAAGTTCAGATACCTGTTCCTGAAGTATATTCAAATGCATTTTCTAAAAGTGGGAGATCCAGATAAGGCCAGCACATTGCTTAACTTATACTGCAAGTCTGTTCTTAAATTCTGCTGAAGCTGCTGACAGTGTTTTGTGTAGCAAAACCTGACTAGGCAAATTGGCTCTTTGATGTATTAAGGGCTTAAATAATTTGCTTTTAATAGTAACACTAAAAAAAAAAAAAAAAAGTGGTGGAACTTAGTGGCTGACTGAATTATGAGAAGGTTTTGGGGAATTTAAATGTCACTGAAGTGAAAGAAGGAAGATAGACAAATACTGAGACTTTGACAGTAATTCTAAACACTGATCCCTTTCTTGTCAGTTTGTAGAAGACTATGAACCTACCAAGGCTGACAGCTACAGAAAGAAAGTAGTTCTGGATGGTGAAGAAGTTCAAATAGACATTCTGGACACAGCAGGGCAGGAGGATTATGCAGCTATCAGAGACAACTATTTCCGCAGTGGAGAAGGGTTTCTTCTTGTCTTTTCAATAACAGAGCACGAATCCTTCACAGCAACAGCAGAGTTTCGGTGAGTAGTTTCTCTCCTAGGCAGGGGAAGTTATCCAGTTCCTGTGTTGCTCTGACAGCTCTGCCTAAAAGCTACAGCTCTTTATTCTTTGTCTGTTATCATTTGATCAATGAAAGTGACACCTGACCATTTTGCTCTCAGTAACTGATAATCTAAACCACAGTATTCAGCCTCTGGCTTTAGTCATCTTCGTGCCTGTAACTTACGAGTACACTATGCCAGCAGCAACTTCAGGCAAGTAACAGATTCTTGGACTCCTAAAAAAGGCATATTCCAGCCAATTTTCAGTCTTCATGGATGTGAAGTTTAATTATCTTAGAACAGTACTTCTGGAATTAAGTCTGTCTTTTGGCCAGGTTTCAGACACAGTATTGCTTACTGCTAGAAGCAGGTGCTCTAAGGAAGGGAAGGATTAGCCTCCACTCTCAGGTATGGATTGGTGCCAAACAAGGGTTGGCAGCCAGGCATTGCTATTGTAGGCAGACGTATTCCTAGAAAGACACAGGGTAGTAGTAAGCACTTCCATTTTTCTTCTTGGAATTAGCAGTTCTGATGTAAAAATTGGTACCAGATTGACCACAGAAACTGCTTGTGTAGTGTGGGGGGTAAGTAGAAAAGGATTTAAACCACCTCTCTGGTTTTAGAATCCATGTGGCCACATTCTTCAGGGCAAGTGTTCTAACTGTTTTTGATAATACCTATTGCCTCAGTAGGAGGTAAATCAGAGATTGCCTGGAATAGCTGTATAACTTGAAGGAAAACTTCCCAAAGCATAGGGAAATTATAGGAGTTCTATGCTTGTCAGAATAAAAGCTCTTTATCAGTCTGCCTTATGTTCCCTTTGCTTCGGTGGTACGAGGTTAACAGATACTAACTGGTAATGGAAATGCTGTAGCTGAGGACACTTATTTCTAGGTTTTTCTTAAAGCTAAGGCAAACTTCCTTGCACTCCAGAACTTGCCATCCTCTTTCAACAGTACTGGATGACCACAAAATCTTTCATGAGGTATACAAATACTGATCCTTTGTCACGTAATACTTCTGTGACTTTGTTCTGCTTCAGAAAGCTGACAGTCATGGGACACACAAGCAGAGCTCAGTTTGCTCTAACTGCAGCTCTGAAAGGAGCCAACAGTTCAACTGTTACAGGGCTGCAAAACTGAGTACTAGGACTCTTCCTAATGTAAGATGGAGGAAAAGGTCAGGTAACACTCAAAGAACACAAAGAAAATGAGACAAGTGGAAGCACTTGGTTTTGGCTTATACGCATAAGTGAAATATAATGTTAAATCCAAAGTTAAAGGCTTTGAATGAAAGAGAGTAGGAGTAGTTGTCTTGGCAGTTTGGTTTTTTTGCCAGACTTCTGTAAGTAGGTTAACGGTGTGTTGGTTCAAGATTCCAGCACAGCAAAACAATGAAAAAGCAATGCTAGCCCTCAAGATGGGCAAGAAGGCCTAAGAGCTTTGTGATGCAGAATCTCCTACTTTTCAGTGGTTCAGAAGTAAAACAAATAGTGAAATTAGTTAAATGGAATATTTAGGCTGACATGCAAGAACCAGCTCCTTGGTCCAGGAAGGAGTGTGGAATGGGTAGTATGAGTCACCAGCATCCCAAGCCAAACTGCAGAGTGCTATTATTTACTGCAGATCAAAAGGTTCCGGAATCCTAACGTTACAAAAAAAGTTGAATACTGAACAAATGATAGGCTTGTCTTTAAACCCTAGCTCTCCTGCTGATGCTATGCATTCAGTGTTTTCTTTCATCTGAAAATGTGTGAAGATGCAGTTAAATGCAACAGCAGATTGTCTGCTTCAGTGTTAATGCTATTTTAGAGTCTCATGTACTCTCCGTACATTGTTATTTTGTAGATGGAAAATGCAGGCATCTTAAGTAGTGTGGTAACTCGGTGAGATGAGAGGGTGTAGCACTGTGCTCATGCCTTGTTTAGCTCTTCTTCATAACCATTTAAAAATAGTTCAGAGTGGTAGAGTTCTTCCAGCATCCTAGATGGACAGCAGCACGTGTCAGTCTGGTTTCAGCTTGTGTTTTACCCCAGTAAAGAACAGACTGAGACTGGTATGCAACATCACTCCATCTCCTTTCCTGGATGCCAGTACATCCTCATAGCATGACAGGTTAATGCTGGCAGTTTGAATATCTTCCTGGAGTTTGTGAAGGGGGAAGGTTGCTAGCATTTTAGTTCAGAATTGTGTAGTAAGTCTGTCCTTTGGGTAAAGTTTAGGTAGCCATTAGGGATGATCTCTGCCAGCTACTGTTGCCTTGGCAAAGACTTCATGTTGCCCAGACCTATATAGAGACTGTGAATTAAAGATGGTGACTGAATGCCAAGGTGGAACTTGGCAAACATGGCACTTGTACTTTTTCCTCATTCAAATGTGAACTCCTGCCAGTTGCTCTTCTGCCATAGTCGTCTTCTTTCCTAGAGCCTGATTACTCACTAACTAGATGGTAGAATTGCCTTCCTGGAAGTGTGAGGCTTTCAGTAGTGTAAAGCCCATAGCATTACTATGCTAATCTTGGAATAATTTTAAAGTGTGTGTCCAGCTGTTGGGAAATAACCAGCTGAAAGCACTGATAATGTGCAGACCACTTGATCCACTTCACATAAGCGTGAGAGTTTTGTTGCTACTACTAACAAGATATTTTTATTTTGAATACCTCATGCATTAGGGAACAGATCCTGCGTGTGAAGGCTGAAGAGGACAAAATCCCTTTACTGGTAGTGGGAAACAAATCTGACCTGGAGGAGCGCAGACAAGTGCCTGTAGAAGAGGCTCGAAGTAAGGCAGAAGAATGGGGGGTGCAGTACGTAGAAACCTCAGCCAAAACTCGAGCGAATGTAGATAAGGTAAGAGAAATTACATCTGCTCAATTAGATCATCACTACTTGTTTAGTAGCTGACTCTTGCTGGGACAAAAGCAAGTCCACAGTTTGGTTTCTGAAAGCCTGGTTTATTTAAAACAAAAAACAGTGCACTTGCAGGAAGGTGTGCACTTAAGCACATACCTAGCTTAAAGTAACCTCAGATCTGGAACAAGTTAATGCTATTGTTTTGTTTTAACTGTTTGGACCTGAACCAATAGTTTTTCAATAGTACTTTGGGTAATTGGTTCTAAGGATTCCCTAAGTATGTAATTTTATTTGTAGGGTGTGTCCTTGTAACACCAATCAATAACAAGCTATGGACAATTAGAAGTTGTTCCTCCTTCCCTGTGAAGCTACATGTAGTGTGGTTAATCTTAAGCATTTTAGTCTTGTTTTCTGCCAAGACTACTTTGAATTGTGAGAAGAACTTGTTGCTGTGTCCCTGTCCTGTTATGACTTGTCCTTGGTGGTATAGGACAGTTATTCTCATGTTATTCTGCTGATGGTTTCTTGTATAAACAGTGTTGGTGGAATATTCTAGAAGAGGTATGAATTATGACTGTAGAGTGTTTGTCCTGTATAGAGGACAAATCAATTTCAGTCATACCCTTAATTTTCTTTGTAGTGAGGAATTCTTGAAGAAAAGGGTGCCTTTTTACTTCACCAATTCACGGAAGATGACATGAAATTACTGTTTGCACCCTAAGGGCTCCAAATGTGTCTTACTAATATGCATCTGTTTAAAGATTACAAATTCTAAGCAGTTTTCTCTTTGGATAAAGAACACTTGCAGCTAGCTGTACTCTTCTAGACTGCTTCCTGTTCTTCTATACTAGTTCACTAGTGGAAATGCTGGTGGTGCACAAGTTACTGGCAGGAACTCCTTCTCTCATTAAAACTACAGTATATGAAACTCCTGAATTGAGACCTCTTGATTTCAAGAACATGGTATAATTTCAGTTTGGTGAAGTCACTGTCCGTTGCATAAACTGGGTGATGTAGTGAAACATGAATATTCAGACTTGCTTTTTCCTATAAGCATCTGATATTACTAATGAATGGCTAGCCTATTTTATATGTAGACTAGTTTTTCTGATCAGTTGGGATTAACAGCAGTGGAGCTGTGTGTCTGGAGTGTACTAGCATGGTGATCTAGATTTGCTGTTGCAGGTCTTCACTGGCTAGCTCATGTGGCATACTGGTTATCCTCTGTATTAGCACTGTTAGGTGTATTGTACAACAAGATACTTCTCTTTGTGGTGATTGTGTGTTAGTACTGTAGCAGAATAAAAAAAAACCTTTAGAGGGTTTTGAATTTCAAACTAATCTACTTTTGATCAGTAGCATGGTCTTGTTTCCAAGTATCAAAGGCTTGAGAGTTCCCTGTTTGGAAAAAACTGCACTTTAGTTCTACAGAGCGATGCTAAACTCTTGTTCTGTAATCATAAAAATAATTTCAAATAATAAAATAAAATTATTTTAAAATAATCCTAAATATAAATACCCAATGACTGTACAGCAAAACGGCTCTTGCATCTTAAGTGGTATGTACCTAGACATCAGGAACAATCAGGGGTGAAATTGCCTAAGTTTTGGATAAAAAAAATGAGAGACGTGAAAGGAAGCATGACTTTCTCTGAATTTTTCTTAGAACATTATTTTGAGAATTTTTTGTGCCCTGTCACTTGAATGCTGCACCTTTGTAGTTATAGACCAAGCAGAATAGTAACTGCATGGAAAAGGCTGGACTAACTGCTTTCCATAGTTAACAGCACTGGAAATGTTGGCTAGGCACAGACAAATGTTCTCATGAGTTCTCTGAATGCTGCTTTTGTTCAACAATGGTTTTTAATAAAAAATCTCTTAAAACAGGGCTGTTGAATTTTTTGATAGCCAGGTAAGATTGTGCAGCTTTTTGTCACTGCTTAACACACTACGTGATTCTGATGTTGAGTTTGTCACAGGAATCTTTGCCTAGCATTACTTCTACTGTGTTGAGTACAGTGTGGTTCTACATCTTTATTTGGTGCTGTGGAATACAGTAGTTTTTATCTGCTTTCTGGTGGCTGATGTTGTTTAATCTTTCTTTATTTTTCCCTTCTAGGTGTTCTTTGATTTAATGAGAGAAATAAGAGCAAAGAAAATGTCAGAAAACAAAGACAAGAATGGCAAGAAAAGTGGCAAGAACAAGAAAAGCTTTAAAGAAAGATGTTGCTTACTGTGATGCTTTGGAACTGTAAATATCCATCTACAGGTGGCTTGGATAAAATACCACTAAGGATATAGGGCTGGATTCATGAAAGGAAGTCTGTATTGACTCCCTTATCTTTTGCTTTGCATATCACACCTCCAAAATGTGAAAACAACTTTGCAACCATTTCCAGTATCCAACAAAACCTTTGCCTCCTTAAACTGAAATGGGCTCCATCTTCCAACTTTCAAAACTAGAAATAGTTTCAGAACTACAATCCTTCTGCTTGGTTAGACAATGTACTTTTGTATTAACTTCCTTCTAATGTTTCTGTGTGTTTCTCTTGAACCTCTATTGGCCTTAACCAGCACAGCTGTTCAGGTTCAAACACTTTTTCCCGCTGTTGCTGCCCTCCTTGATGGTGCAAACTGCAGAGAGGCTAGATGACACCTAGTAAAGGGTTTGAGTCTCCATCTTCTCTTAGTTGTCACTGATATTTCTTACACTGAAATCTGCTGACTTCCTCCCCACGCTCCATGTAAGAAATAGCGACCGACAGCTGAGAGTCAACTCAAAACAAACTTTCTTCTGTGTTCTGTTTAGTCAATACAGCATTCATGAATCAAGCCTAAGGACTCAATTCATACTTATTTAGGAAATGAAAAAATTGATATTTAAATACAGGCTGGATGCATTCCCTGCTGGGGTCTGTCTTCTCATCCTTAAATTAGTGATATGGGGTGAGAAAGTGACTGTAAGCCTTTCTTCAAAAGGAATAGTATTATCACCATCTCCCTGAAATGCTCTCCTGGGTTTCTTCCATGTATTGTCTTGACTCAATTACACTCTACATCTGTCATCCTTTCCTTCCCTTGTACTGGAATAGTGGAAATAGGTGTTGATTTAATCAGTTATGTTTATATTGGAACACTTGTGATGATAGTGTTGGAAAGTGAGAACATCTGCATCTGTCTCCTGTCTTGCTGAAGATGAAAATGCTGAATAAGTGTGGGTCCCATCACACAATCATGACCTGGAATAGGTGAGGCATATATGTTACCTCTCAATGATTAGCTGGCTAGTGAGCTGTATGGTGTCAAAAAGCAAATGAAGTTAAGCAGTTGCCACATCTATTACTCACTGTTAATTTTATATGTACTGTTTCTGATGCACAGCAACCTAGTACATGATGAGTTTTGCTGTCACTTACACAGTGGTGGTCATGTCAGTTCAACAAAAACAGTCTAGAAGTGGAAAAGTCAGTACTTAGCAGGTTCTGTTGTCAGCTGAATGAAATGAACTTTCTGATGCAGTTTAAATGAAGTGCAGTTGCCAAAAATCACTTCTGTCACTGTGGAAAAGAACTCTCTTCTGGTTGTGGAGTTACTCAATGAATTATGGCTATCTTCTGCCTCAGGAGTAGAGAAACTTGAAGAGTAACTGTATCTTGCTCGTAACTGGATGCTTAAAACACAGTTGCTTGGTGAAACTAATTTAAGTGATTGTTCAATGAAGCTCATTGCAGCACTAAATTAACTAATGGTGTTTCTTCCTGAAATGGAGTAGTGAATACTGTTCAGTACTTAGTATTGTCATTTGAGGTTGAAAAATATTTTTTCACGTGTACTAGATTGCTTGTGTGCATTCCCTCTCTGAACATTGAAAAAAGTAAGATGTGATCTACATCAGAACCTCTGTTGACCTGAGGTTTTACAGGGATTTATCACAAACTCATTGTCTTCCATAACTAGTTCATCTTGTCAGGCAACTCATTGAATTGGGGAAACTGTACTAAATAAAAGGTGCTGTAATCTTCATTCTTGTCAAATTAAATTCCTTCTTTGTTACTCTTATCTTGTATGGGCAGAAAGAAAGGTTAACCAGCTCTGGAAGTTATTCTCTGTGAACAGTATAATTAATTGTGAAGTTGGCTTTGTAATGCCCAATAGTGTTTTGAAGCGGAAGCTGGAAGCCTGCTGGCTTACAGAACTTGTCACTTGAGCTGTGTCACCTGTATCTAAAGCCTAAGCACTGAATAGGACACTGGGAGCTGTAACACATCTAACAAAGCTTCCTATTCAACTTCCATGGATAAAAGTCCTTTTCTGACTGTATATTGTCCATACAGCAAATGAATGTCCTCTTCTGGAGAAAGGCAACTCAGGTTTGGTTTTAGTTGAGACTTAAAGGTTAAGTCCTTAATTAACCTAAAGAGTAAACAACAGTTGAGTTCACATTACAAGCTTATCAAGGTCAAGCCCCTCTGAGGCGGGCTGTAAAATGTGTATAACAAAATTGAATAAACTGTCCTTGCTGTATGAATAATGAATTCAGCAAAGCTCACAATGAGCAGCTCAGCTACGTTGGCTCAAGAGACTTGCATGCCTTGACTTTTGATCTCTATAGTCTTAAAGCACCCGACAGTATTTGACAGGACAGATCAATTTCTTCTCAGAACAGCGAGTCTCTCACTGGTGTTCTTACAGTCCATGTGCTGTTTTCACTCAGGTTATTTTTTTCTCCAGCTGATAAAGCTATGCCAATGAGGTGGACTTACTTGGAAGAAGGTGCTTGCTGTTTCATGGCTTCATGCTGCATCTCTTCAGTGTTCTGTTCTTGTCACCTGCTCCAGAAAGACTAGGCCTGGAGACTAAATAAAGCAGCTTTTCAGTTTTCCTCTTTTGCACTTGCGACAAACTCAGTTTAACTTGCCAGTTACAGCTGAAAACACAATAAACAAAGCAGCTACATTGCCTACTTTGGAACAGTGGGCAGCAAGCTTTCTGACTTGTACCAGAAAGGCAATAAAACTGGTCCCCTGGACTGAAATCCTGTTGTCTCCACCTCATGGTGGAAGTGCCTGAACATATGCCCTTCTGAATAGAGGCAATATGATTTGGGGGTTCTTGAATGGCTTTCAGGTGTGCTTCACTGGACATCAATGGATATCACCATCAGGTGGGTTGAGTGGAGTGAATATAACACGGCACAGCATCCTGTAAGCAGTGTGAATGGAGCTTGGAGTAAGTGGGGGTCAGGCACATCAAATAAGGGATGACTTTGGCAGCAGGGGGTTCGTGGCTGCCTGCTGGTCCTGCAGTGTAGCTGAGGAGACTGAAGGCTGGATTGAAGCTGATGTATTCTATCAGCCTTTGCACGTTGGGTAATTAAAAACCACTGCTTCTCTTTGTTGGTATAATGTGCTCTTAAATCATTCTGGAGCATGGCTGTAGGCAGGTAACTGGATATTTGCAGCTGGAGGTCATGCAAGACTTGACTATGCACTTGCACTTAAGCATTCAAGTATTATTCTTGCGCAATGGCTTAACATGAAGTCAGGGAACTGTTTACTGCTATGTGCAATCTTCCATATGTGGCTTAGCTTCGAGTGCTCCAGTTTTCCTTCTGGTTTGAGCAGAACAAACAATCCACTGTTATAACAAGGGCTAAGTCATTATATGAAAAAAAAAAAAAGCAGGACTCCAGGACTGCAAAGGCAGACTTGACTCTTGTAGAGGAGCATGTCTCCAGGTGGGAGTACAGATGTAGCATGAAGTGTGTTTTCAATGACTTGTGCCATATGCGTTCTTATACAGACTGATACACCTCTGCTGCAATTTCTAGGGGAACACTTGGCTTGATGAGGAGGAAGATGTATGCATATATTTACTGGGCATTAAACTTCAGTACGATGTTGATAACCATCTGAAGTTCCAGTTGAGTCCTATCTGGCTGAAGTATAATGCTCAAGAATACTTCAGGTCCAAGGTACAAAACTACAATCTGGAATGCAGTAAGAGGCATGTAAGGGGGATATGCATCTAACTAAATGCTCACCCAGATCTGTTTTTAAAGCTTTTCAAAGCATTAACCCAGTTCTTAGGCCTGACAGGTCTATCAATTCTTGCTCAGAAAGAGGATACTGTTATCAGTTCAGTTCTGTTATGTAGACAGAAGCTTTCCTTAATTGCTATAAACATATGTTGCAGTGTTCACCTCCTGTTGACTTTATAGTTGGGAGAAGGAGGGAAGAGGAACAAATAAAAAAGCTATGATTTTCACCGTAATCTCCACACTTCATGGAAATGGCAGGTGTTCCTCTTGGGAGGGGAAGGTGTTATCTCTAACACCAAGTGAGAAGTTTAGTGTAGAGGAAGTGATTGTGATTGCAAGACTTAATGAAACTGCCTCTAAACTATGTATGCTATACTATACAATGTAAATTTATTTTTTTCCTTACATAGCTTCAGAGCTTTGTCTCTAACTTGCACAAACATTTTTAATGTCTGTAAAACTGGTCACTTTTCATTATCATGCTAATACAACTGATTTGTATTACTATTGATAATAAAAAGAAAAAATGAGCTTCATATTTGTTTGTTATTAATTTTTACAGCATTCTAAAAGCCTACCTAATCCCCAAATTCTTGAATGAGCCAACCACTGCTTTTCAGTGTTGGAAACTAACCTTTCTATCAAATATGTAACAAGATTATATTGCAGACTATGGGAGGGGAGGAAGAGGTGACTGAGACACTCATCATTGGCTTTCTGGAAATGGTATGCATGTTTTTCAGGACTGAATTGACATAGTAGTTTGGTTCATTCACAGCTGATTTTCCAGAACTTAATTGGATAGACAGCTTGTATATGAATGACAGAGTTGCTTTGTCTTTTCTTCAGACAATCTTGTGCCTTTGAATAACAGAATAAGCAACACTGTGTGGAAAAAGTAGTCCTTAGTCTTTTGAGTATGCCAGACTCCATTCTCTCTGTAGGTTTGTGGTGAATGAACTGCAGGAGAGAAGCTGAGATGCTTCTGAGGCAGGATGGCTCAGGACAGACTCATTGCTCTCTAATGCCACTTAATTTGGAGTGGCAGAACAATGGGTTTCAAAGTAAACTTTCAGGCAGTTTCTGTCACCACTGCTGTATAAGTTGGAAGTGGAACATTCTCTAGCTGATGACTTCTGGCCAAGGACTACAGCAATTTACATAATCTTGTTTACATGGTGCTTGCCTGGTGTTTGCCCTGTGTTTCTGATTGCCACGGTGCTCTCCTTCTCTGTGAAGTAACTTTTAAAATACTCTGTGGCAGAGAAAGGGTAGCATGAAAGTGTCGTGTAGGAGGCAGGAGAGGGTTCTGAGCACACTTGTTTTACAGTGCTATACCCAAACCCAGATTGGCACCTTTTTCTTCAGATAGTTCTGCAGAGGCTTGTGAGGAACAGGCTTGCCTTTGGTTGCAGCAGGATAAAACAGGAGGGTGATGACTCGTACATAGCTTGGCTCCTGCCTTTTTTTGTTTGCCTGTATTCTGCCCCAACCAGAACATTTTAGTGTGGTTCTGTGAGCTAAGTGCTGACATTCCTGGGATGGTACAGGCACCTCTTCCTGAGAACTGCTGGCTCCATCTTGTGGATTTAGGAGTTAGAAGCTCTGCTGTGGAGAGGGGCTGTTCTGCATGCTCAGACGAGCAGACAAGTTGCTGCTATTTATCTGCCACCTGAAGTACATGTAGAAATCCACACTAGCTAGATTCTTCTGGTCTTGTTGCTTGGCTGTATTATTCTCTCATGTGGTATGAGACTTTGTTCTAAAATTAAATTTTCCTTTTGCATGCAAATGCTAATGTTAAATCTTGCCTAAACATTCTTCCGTGCAGCAGAACACCCAATTTCTCATGAGGACGGCGGATTTACGTTTTTTCTGGCATTAAACCAGTTTGCCTTGCAAGTGTAAGTTTGTTCTGCTTGCTGAGCACTGATTTGCATGCCTGAAAGAATACTTATTGTTCCCTGAGACTCTGCAGTACTTCACTAAATGTTTTGTTTCTATGGGTGACTAAAGATGCTGGGCTTTCTTTGAAATATAAAGCCTTAATTTGGGGGTGGGGCAGAGAATATTCTATGGGGTTTTTTTTCCCTGGCCCATGGTCTTTCCTCCCACAAACTACTCAGTGTCTGTTATGGGAATAGGATCTACTAGGGATATAGCAGCAAATGGCCCCTTAAGCATTGTAACTCCAAGGGAATTGGAACTAAAAAGTTGAGGTGAGACTGGGATCACATGCTCTGTACTTGCCTTCCTGATAGAGTTGATTAATCTCTAGAGTTTACAGTAAGTTCCCTTCAATGAGCTTTGTTACTTGGCTTTGAGGCAGAATCATGTTTTTGATATAATCAGAGTTTATGGAGTTTGTTTTTAAAGCCTAGCGTTTGGGGTATCGGAGGCTTTATGCATGTTAGCTTCATAGGCCAAATACCAGAATTCAAGGACAAACTTGTGCACACATGTAGCATTGAGAGACAAGGAAAGTTACTCCCTACTGTTTAATAATGCTGTGTTTTTATTCTAGAAAGGAAAACACATACAACAAACTGAACCTGCTGTTTGGATGAGTGTTTCAACCTGTGGTCTGTACAAGTGCTCTGTAACATGATTACTCTCCCACAAAACGATGGCATTACAATTCTATACTTGTAAACAAGGAAAACAACTGTGGACTGTGGGAAGGAGTAATTATCTGAAAAAATAGCCAAATTCTTCCTTGTTTCTAAATGAAAACCATCATGGTACCATTGCCCAAGATACCCTGCAGTTTTACTCCTAGAAGTTTGGCTCTTCAGTTTTAAATGGCTGCTGAGAAGCAGAGAGACATGGTCCTGGTGAGACACAGACCTCCCTGACAGAAGTGTCCTTTCCCAGAATGACAGGCTTCAGAAATGAGATATTAAAACTGTTTCTTGCTTGGAAGTTGGTGCTATGAAAACCCAAACCTATTTGGTTGCTGAAAAAATGCCTGCAGGAGGGACTA